CTTGGGCACGCACGCACATGTGCCCAGGGTGAATTTAAATCACCAGGTCTGGGACTTGACCTGCAGTCGGATACATGGGAGTCCAGCAACATAGCCATTATGCTAACTGCTGCTCCCTCTATCCCCATATCTTGATGTTAAACCATTGCTTTTACTGCCCTTTTTAAAACCTGAACTCCAAGGCAAGTTGTATGAGTTCATCAACTTTCCTGAACACCTACTTTGTGGTATAGACAGTGTGGATGAAGGATAATAGTTATCATGGTAAAGGGAACCACTTGTAATTAGTAAAATGAGAAATTAGGTTTTTGAAACTATTTAAGCATGCAAGGGTCAGGTCAGGTTAAGGCCAAATGATTAAAAAACTAAAACAAAAACATGTTTTCCAATACTATGTGTTTGTTATTGTGCCTTTGTTGTAAAAAGCACTTCAAGGCTCTGGGTGCCAAAGTATCTGGAACTGAGCTTGGTTTGGTTTGTAAGAGAAATTGTGATTTTCAAGTGAATATTTCAGGCAATGTGTAATTAATGTCTAATTCTGTGGATAACCAACCTTTTTTTTTGTTCTTAAATGTGGATATTGACTCTATAAATATAAATGAATATACATCACTGTATCTAGGTGGATTAACCAGGTCCTAAGTTCCGTCAGTTCTGAAATAGTAGAGCAAAAGCCTTGTTTTTAGTTTTTAAAATTCAGTTGTACAATTATTGTCCCCCCCCCCCCCTTTTTTCTTTTTTTTTGTTTTTTTGAAAATTCTGTGGATAACCAACCTTTTTTTTTGTTCTTAAATGTGGATATTGACTCTATAAATATAAATGAATATACATCACTGTATCTAGGTGGATTAACCAGGTCCTAAGTTCCGTCAGTTCTGAAATAGTAGAGCAAAAGCCTTGTTTTTAGTTTTTAAAATTCAGTTGTACAATTATTGCCCCCCCCCCCCCATTTTCATCTTTTTCAGTCTTGTGAAAATGCCATTGTGTGTTGGAAACCTGGCAAAATGGAAGATGATATAGATAAAATTAAACCCAGTGAGTCTAATGTGACTATTCTTGGGCGATTTGATTACAGCCAGTGTGACATTTGGTACATGAGGTTTTCTATGGATTTCTGGCAAAAGGTAGCAGCATATTTTTACATTTTGAAATTATTTGACTTATAAGAAAGACCATTGTAATTCTAGCCTTTTTTGTCGTGTCCATATTTTTTCCCCTCTAAAAATCTGCCTTGGTGTTTTGTATCAGTTATTGTATCTCTTGATATTCATTTACCTTTGTGGCTCAGCAAACCATCTGCAGTGCTTGCTTATTGCAGATGAAATTAGCAGTGAGCTATCAATGGTAGAAGTTAGGCATTTATGTCCCATAACATTTGTTACTAAGATTTAATGTTTTTCATTATTACAGTGTTAATCTTATGTAGCTTTTTCCCCCGAGGTTAATGTAGAGAAAAATCAGGTGGAAGACAGAGACAAAAAACTAATTACCTAAAATTTGAGATTAATGTGTTGTTAACATTACCTGGATACTTACATAAAAAGGCTTTGAAAAAATGTTCACTATAATTTTTTTAAGGCAGAAGAAAGTACCACGCTAACCCTATAAGTTTTAAAAGTCCTTTATAAATTTACAAACTGCCTTTTTACTAACTAGAAGTATCTGAAATATTAATTGCTCTTATTCCTACTTACAAGTCAGGAATGTAAGATACAAAGAAATGGTCAATAAACAGGCTGGAACTGAGGTTTTCCTGAAATAAAGATGTCTTAGGATTGCTTGAATGTTTTAGAGCCTGGTGATTTTATTAATTTGATTTTTCAAAAATATGTTTATATAGATGCTTGCATTGGGCAATCAGGTTGGCAAACTTTATGTTTGGGATTTAGAAGTAGAAGATCCTCATAAAGCCAAGTGAGTATAAATTTATGTTTTCTGTTCAAAATTTCTGCCCTTCAAATTTTTATGTCAGTATAGAGGCTAATTGTAATGCCATCCTTGCATTTCTTTCCCTGGCGTTTTTGCCATAGGGCATGTTTGCTAGCTGGAGAGAGAAAGTAAGAAATCTCTAAACCCCTGGCCACACTGTGATCCACTCTCCTCCCAGGATTTTGGGCATGCACATGCACCTGGCCTGGTTTTTCAAGCTGCCAGGTCTGGGACTCATACTGCAGTCAGCCATGTGGGAGCACCTTAAGCACTATGACACCTGTTGACCCCCCTCCTTCAGTCATTTGTAACATTTACAACTCAGAGTTTAAGTACATTTTTATTCTAAATTGCAACTCTTGAATTAAAAATATAGTATTTCTCCTTCATCTTCAGGGGATATGTTCCAAAGGCCCACATTTATTATGTTTTTTCACTTCGATAATCAAGATATCTACTGACTAAGGGAACCAGCAGTTAGTATAATGGCTATGTTGCTGGACTCCCACGTAGTCAACTCCCGGACCCGGTGGCTTAAAACTCATGCCGGGCAACGTGTGCGTGTGTGCCCAAGATCCCGAGAGGAGAATGGAGGAGAAGGGATTGTGGCCTGACCATCCCCCCTGGGGGGTGATTTCTCGCTTTCTGTCTCTATGTCTCTCTCTGTCTGTCTGGCGAGTGCACGGCATCCTATAGCGAAAACCTCTCAAAAAAAAAAAGATATCTACTGACTAATAGGAGAGTAATAATATATACAGGGTCGTATGCTGGTCAAAGTGATGATTTATGTTCTAAATGGAGACAGTGTGAGATTTCATCATGCTACTTGCAACAGCATGTAAATTACTTATTTCTGGGATTTTCTGCTATTTAAATTTCGGACCGTAGTTGATGGAGGGAAGCAGAACAGTGGATAAGAAAAGGCAGCTGTGCACTCAAATTTTTTAAACCCTGAGATTGAGCTTTTAATGAAGGATATTCTGGCTTTAAATGCTTTTTTATATGGCTGAGAAGAATTGTTCATTTTCTGCTTTGGTGTTTTAAGGCAGATGCAGAAGACATTCTTCTGTATGGTATTTAACCTATTGTCACATTTTTTTCCCTAGATGTACAACACTGACTCATCATAAATGTGGTGCTGCAATTCGACAAACCAGTTTTAGCAGGGATAGCAGCATTCTTATAGCTGTTTGTGATGATGCCAGTATTTGGCGCTGGGATCGACTTCGATAAAATACTTTTTCCTAATCAAAGTTAGAGTGTGTTGTCTGTAAAATAGAATTAATGTATCTTGCTAGTAAAGGCACATAGAGCATTTAGAGTTGTCTTTCAGCACTCAATCAGGCTGAGCTGAATGTAGTGATGTTTACATTGTTTACATTCTTTGTACTGTCTTCCTGCTCAGACTCTACTGCTTTTAATAAAAATTTATTTTTGTAAAGTTGTGTGTTATTTTAGTTATTTTCATTGTAATGAAAAAAAGTCAAAGTAATAAAATTATGCTTTATCTTTTTGTAATGATTGGTTTTTGTAGTTCTCTTAACTGGAGAAAGCTTTATAATGTATGGATTAAGTGTGGGCTGTAGAATTAAACTGAATTTATATCTTGACTCTACTACTGTGTGACCTTAGATAAAATGTCTTTGTACCAGTTTCCTCGTATGAAAAATGGGTACTTTGGGGTTATTGTGAGGATCAAATAATTTGTGTGCAATTAGAATACTATTTTAGAGGGACCAGCAGGTGGCGTGGTGGTTAAGGCGCTGGACACTCCCACGTGGCCAACCATGGTTCAAGTCCTGGACCTGGTGGCTTGCTTTCTCACTTTCCCTCTTTCTCTCTGTGTCTCTCTCTGGTCAAGCTTAAAAGTGAATGATGAGCCCCCAATGTATTTTAAATTGTTTATAATTATTGGAAATTATATTTCCTGTAGTTTCATATTTTTTAATGGATTCCTCTATATAGTTTCAGTAGTTGTGGCCTGACTTGGCCCCACTATGAGGTGCTTTCTCTCTCTCTCATCTCTCTGACAAGAACATAAACCTTCTAGCATGTTTAAAAATGGAAAAAAAATATATAGATGACTATTAGTTCTTTAGATGTTTCGTAGGATTATCATGAAGTCATCCCCTACTGAGCTTTTTCTGTGATGGGAGATTTTTAATTATTGATTTAGTCTCCTTAGTTGTTATTGGTCTATTCTAATTTTCTGTTCATTATTCAGTCTTAGGAGGTATTGTGGTTTGAATTTTTTCCCCCAGAATTCATGAATTGAAATTGGGTTGTATTGCAAAGGTATTAACATGAAACTTAGTCTGATTATTGTGTTGCAAGGGTGGGGCCTTAGGGAAGTGATTAGGCCCTCATGGTTAAGTCGTGGTGGTTTTGTAAGAGAGAGAATGAGACATACAGAACACATTGACACTCACACACACATACTCTCCTCTGCTCAAGCTTTCACCCTTCTCCATGTTACCAACAATAAGGCCCTCACCAGATGCTGCCCCTGGGCCTTAGACATCCAAACTGTTGAGCTGAAAAGGTCTAATTTTTATAAATACCCTGACTCTGGTAATTTTGTTACTACCAACATAATAGACTAGAATAATAGGCTGTATGTTTCCAGGAATTTATCTACTTCTAGGTTGTCCAGTTTATTGTCATACAATTGTTCCTAGCAGTCTCTTATCTTTATTCTTCTGTGTTACCTATTGTAATATCTACATTTTTTATTTCTTTATTTATCTGAGTCTTTTCCCTTAATCTAGCCATGGATTAACCATTTTTGTTTAATTTTTCCAAAAACCAGCTTTTAGTATTGTTGATCTTTTCTATTGTTTTTCTACTTCCTTTATGTTCTAATCTTTATTTCCTTTCTTCTAGTAATTTGGGGTTTGGTTAGTTCTTTAGTTCGTCAATGTGTAACATTAGATTGTTTGAGATCATTTTTTAATGCGCATGAACTGCTTTTGCTGCCATTTGTAAATTTTGGTTTGTTGTGTTTCTTTTTTCTTTTTTTTTTTTTTTTTTTTTACTTCTTTTTTTAATTGACCAGAGAGAGAGGGAAAGTGAGAAAGCAAGCTACCAGGTCTGGGACTCAAATGGCCGTTGGCCATGTGGGAGTTCAGTGCCTTAGCCAACATGCCACCTGCTGGTCCCATGTTTCCATTTTCATTTGTATAAAGGTACATTTTAATTTCCTTTTAAATTTCTTCTTTGACCTAGTAATTGTTGAATTTAATTTTTTATACGTGCCGCTGATAGTCTTAGGAAGGATAAAACCAAATTTGGTAATTTGACTGTTACATTTCTGAGAAGACAAACAGGACAGGGTTTTAGTTTCTTTTTACTATATGCTGGAATATTTCAAACACTGAAAAGAAAATAATTACTCTAATGCACCAGTAATTAAGTCAGGCTTCAACAATTACCAAGTACTTAGCCATTCTTGTTTTATTCACATACCCTCCTCTGATTATTTTGAAATACGTCCCCCAAACATGTCACTTTGTTTGTAAAAGTTTGTATTGCTAAGAGATACAGACTTTAAAAAATTGATACCATTCTCACATGCCCAACAGCGATTCAAGTCCCAGATCTGGTGGCTTCCTTCCTCACTTTCCCCATCTTTCTCTCTGTTTCACTCCCTCTCGGTGAGCATGTGTACTCTACATAGCAAATTTAAAAAAAAAAAAAAAAAGTAATTTCAAAGAAAAACCACCTTTAATGTTATCCAAAAATAATTGGATGTGTATTAGTGGCTGGATATAGTGTGCATAATTTTAAGTAATTGCAATTATGCTGAATATATTGTTTATAGACTGAATTTTAAAATTCTTAATGATTCTTTGGGAACCAGCAGTTAGTGTAATGGCTATGTCGCTGGACTCCCACGTAGTCGACCGCGGTTCGTGTCCTGGACCCAGTGGCTTAAAACTCACGCCGGTCGCGTGTGCGTGCGTGCCCAAGATCCTGAGAGGAGAATGGAGGAGAAGGGATTGTGGCGTGACCATACCCCATGGGGGGTGATTTCTCGCTTTCTGTCTCTATGTCTCTCTGTCTGTCTGGCGAGCGTACGCACCCTATAGTGAAGAAACCTCTCAAAAAAAAAAAGATTCTTAATGATTCTTTGAAACGGCATTTAACTCCTGTGTGGAATCTTAGAAATTTTATGGTAGGTGTTTGGTGGTTCATGTGATCATGTGTGTTTTGTTCTTACCATTGTAATGGAAACACTTCACAAAAGTAACTCAGCTGATTTCACGCTACATATCCTGCCAGCACTGGCATGTCTTACTGACATGTAAGGATGGATTGAAAGGGAAAGACAACCAGTTCCCTTGTAGTTCCCTTTTCTTTGATCATCTTTGGTGCAAATGATTGGCTAATACAAGCAAGTAGCATAAGTAAGAATTAGGGTTCCTTGACTGTTCATGTTTCTTAAAGTGCCATGTCTTCTTTCTGTGTTCAAACCAAACCTGATTGAAACTGAAAGCATGGCCCCTTGAGGCTGTCAGCCTCATCAGTTGTAGATGGAAGACACTCACTTTGCACTTGGTTTGAGCCTTACCAAGTTCTGTACACAAAGGTCCACTTTTTTGGGGAATTGTGAATACCATGTATTAGTGGAGTGACAGGAACAGTCTCAGAGCATGTCTCTCTTCCTATGATATACTGCATTGTCACATTCAACTTCATGAAATTCAGGTTCAAGGTAAAATTAATTTCAAGACGTGGACAGCCAAGCATTAAACCAAGCATGAAACTTTTATGAATTTGGTGTCCTATACTGTTGCATAGGTTGCATTTCTATACAGCTGACCCTGCCGGGGCTGTCATGAGGCTAGTTACCCTGTGACACCATCTGCTACTGACATCTCAGTTTATGGGTTTTCATTTCTAAACTACTTACAGTCTATTTTCAGTCTCTTTTGATCTCTTTTGGGCTCCCTTACCCTTGTCTCCTCAAACTATCCAC